CCCTTCTCACCTCTTTCATATAACTGAAAACTAATCCAACCGTAAACACCGGATTATCCATGTCAATCTCTGCGTTGGAAGTCCTAAACGCACTCCCTCCACTTCTTTTTAGTTTGCATATAAAATTTGATCAAAGTCAAACTTTGTAAAGTTTGACTAACTTTATAGGAAAAAATATCAACATCTACAATACTAAAGCTATACGGTATGAAAATTAATTTTGTAATGCATCTAATAATATTGATTTCATATTGTGAATGTTGATAACTTTTTCTATAAACTAAGTCAAAGTCAACAAAGTTTGACTTTGACCAAATTTTATATGCAAACTAAAAAAACGGAGGGAGTATAGTTTAACTCTTCTAGCTCTTCCTTTGAAAGGTTTAAGTCATCCTCATTTAGTGGATAATTCTCTTCCATGTACTCATTTGACACATTGCTATCCTCCGCATTGTTGCACATGTAGAGCTTCCTCCTGGCGGATTCAACTCAGATTGGTTTTATCGTGTGGTTCGCCTAGGGCTTGTGATCCACATCCCATGGGGTGTGATTTACATCCTCCAGGGCATCATCTCCACCACAAACTCCTATTGGTTTTGATCTTCCTTTCGATCCCATTGCAGGATCCGTGAGCATGTTGTAACACAATTGCGTGAATCAGACAAACAAGGCCGCAACATGTCCATCCCGAGGTGGAGCACCTCGTGCGAAAAGGGAAGCAGACCTCTACCGAAGTTACCCGGCAGTCTGGCAGCGGCTGGGGGATCTCCCTACTATCTCTAGGAGCTAACCCTAGTGAAGAGTTATCCATGGAAATGCCAAAGTAGCACTTATTTTTTCTTTCTTCAAGTTGGTTACCGTAAGACTTTTAACGTTGTTACCTTACTCTACTAGGGCTTTTGTTAATATAAAGTTGAGTGCGTCGCCTTCTAAAAAATATGTATTCCCTTCATTCCCTTATACAAGGTCACAAACTCAGATTACAAGTACCAAGATAAAATTTAACGACTGCTTTGCAAGCCAACTTTTCTTTTGTTAACCGAGATCACTAGTACATCCGCATGCATGCAAGGAAGGAATAAGAATGAAGTAGCACAGAGTCATTATGACTACATGCATGCAAGTATTAACCAAGTTGTTAGGCCCTTCCCAGTGCTCCACGGTGGATAGATGCTAAGCATGCCACATAAGCGAAAAAATGACATGGCACAACATTTAAGGAGGGGAGAGAGCACTTTGGTGACCCTAAGAAGAACCAATGACAAGCGCGAGAACCTAGGCAAACCACATGAATGAAACAATTTGACCAATGCATGAAAGACTTTAGGTGCTAACTCATTAAATAAAGTGTGCTTCGCAACAACAAGTTAAGCACCTACGCATTGGGGAGTTGAGTTGCTAAGGTATTTAATGCACTTAGCACCTCATCTTAGCACCTTTGCATTGGAAGAGGTCTTAGTATGAGAAAACATCATTAATGTAAGTGGCATTGTATAGATGCAAAATGTATTTTTCATAGTGGCCTTGTATAAGGGAATGGGGGGAGTACAATTTTTCCATAGAGTGAAAAGGTATGTACATTTATTGAGAATAAATATGTATAAATTTCAAAAATGGTAAAATTATATTGTCGGGTTTTTAAGCATGGCAAATCGAATATTTTTATGGCAAATTGTGTTGTCTCGAGCGCTGGCAAATCCTTTGAGCAACACAGATGTGTATAAATATTGATTTGCCTTCTGTGGGCTATTTGTTTGGGCTTAAGGCCTTTGGATGGCAAAGGAGGCCGTGTCCACCTCGGGCTTGGGGTGCCCTTGGCGTTGGAGTCCGTCCGGCGTTCCCCCTTGGTCTTCCTGAACGCTGCTACACAGACGACAAACGGCGGACGATTTGCAGACGATGTAGCACATCAAGCCGCTCATGTGTAAAGCAAAACTAAACAACACCGTTCGATCCAACATCGTCCAGTGTTCGGCCGGAGTACTGTCGTCTGTATAGTAGTTTCGTGGTCTTCCTCCCCACCCCCAAATCCTGTCCCACCGACCGGAGTCGCCGCCGAGATGACTGGCCTCCATGACAAGCGCGCCACCAGCGAGTCCCGGAGATCCAAGCGCCCTGAGCGGTCCAGGCCGGAGGCGAAGGTGGCGGAGCCTCCGGCACGCCGGGCCAAGCGCGCCGAGGGCCATGTTCCTCTGCGCAAGCGCGAGTCTGCGAGGGTCGGGCGACCACCCCACCCCCTGGACTCGGAGGGTGTGACTGCGGAGCCTCGTCCAGCACGCCGCGACGAGCGATCATCCTCACCCCTTTGCGGCGATGGGGGCACGGAGGAAATCACCATGGCTCCTCCACCACGCCGCGCCAAGCGCGAGGACTCCCCTGACTCGCCTCGCACCGCCTACGTGCTCCGCAACCGCCGAGTCCCGGATGCCGGCGACCCCAAGCCCACCCCCCCTCCGTGCTTCGAGAAAAGGTATCTCTCTATATCTCCACCCCCGCAACGCAATCAATTCCATAACTTGATCTTCGCGATGTGCTGAATGCCTTGGATTTGGTTCATGGATGCTGAAATTCTGCTTTGTTGTGTGATTTTTGGGCAGATTGGTTTTACTATTGTGCTGACCACATGACGAAGCTTCAACCCACTGACAATTGCTACTTCCTAGCTTTGTTAAATAATATGCCAATGTTAGCAGTTAGTAACAATTACTCCTGCAGACTCACTCATACGAGTAAATTGCACAAAACCACCAATTTGAAGGCTAGGTCTGTGAAAAACACTACAATACATTTGTTTTGCAAAAAACACCGTGTCTATCGTAATCTTTTTGCAAATAACACTGATCGGCGGATTTGCCTCGGCTGAGCATGTTTATGACAGATGGGGTCCGCTAGTCAGGCTGATGTGGCACCAATTTAAGTTGAACCGTTTTACTGGACATGGGGCCCACTTGTCAGCATTTCACCTTGATCTCTCTCTTCCCTCGAGCCAGCAACATGCAGGAGCGCCGCCGCCGCCCGTCACCATTGCCTCTGAGCTCCATGAAATTCACCGCCGTTAACCAGCCCTCACCCAGATCCGGCAAGAATCAAGTCGCCCCCCCTCACTGTACCTCGGATTCGTGCTCCTCCCCTGCGAGCGGCGGCCACGAGCGCCGGCGGGACTTGGATGAGGTCGGCGAGCCCGGCGATGCACATCGTCCTTGGCGCGTGGCGGAAGGCTGCCCCTCGGCCGGGGCGGGACTAGCGGCGTCCTCTGCCCCCTCCCCCCCTCGATGCGGCAACAGCAACGGCGGCCCTTGCCTCGGCTGGGGTCGGGATGGGCGACGGCAACCGAGCCGCCGGCGCCTTCCACACTCAGATCCATTCTCCCTGCTCCAATCCAGCTGGTGCCTCTACCTCTGCGCTCGAGCCGCCATCGACGTAGGAGCTGCAGTAGCCAGTGAGCAGGGTGGTCGCCGTGGCTGAGGAAGGAGGCGGCGACTCCCTGCTGGAGCATCACGGTGGCTCTGGTTCGGAGGAGGTCGCCGTCAAGATGCACGAGACGAAGCAACATCGTCGGCGGCCAGCCCGCTACTCCCTCCCCTTGTCAGATTGGCGGGGTTGTGCAATACGGCTTGTCAGCGCGTGGTGGCGACGGGCGCACGTCGGGTGCGGGCCTCCGGGCATGCGCCGTTGACCACAGGGGCAGGACGGGCGGCAGCGAGCTGGTGAAGATAAGGCGAGAATGGACAGATTTATTCTTTTTATTTCAATGACAGGTGGACCCCACAGGGCTCCACACAAGAGGATAAAGTCCCAAACATCGCCGTTACATGCGAGGTGTTAAGCGGTGCCACGTCAGGCTGACTGACGGGCCTCATTTGTCATAAACATACTCAACAGAGGCAAATCCGTCGATCAGTGTTATTTGCAAAAAGATTACGGTAGACATGGTGTTTTTTGTAAAAAAAATGTATTGTAGTGTTTTTGGCAAACCTAGCCTTCAAACTGGTGGTTTTGTGCAATTTACTCCACTCATACACTAGTATAAGTTGGAGCTGATATAGCATCAATCAACTATGCTGATCAGACTAGAAAATGCCTTGATCTCTCTATACATCTCTAATCCTTGCAATGTGCTGGATTTGATTTATGGGTGCTAATTTAATTCCACCCGCCAATTCTGCTGCTCTGTAACGGCCGGGTCACTCCAGTAGCACCCTTCTTCGTTGTGTGAATTTTGGTCAGATTGATTTTACTATTATGCTGACCAAATGATCAAGCTTTTAACCCCCTACCCAATTGCAACTAGCTTTGTTGAACATGCCCATTGTTAGCAGTTACTCCTGCAGAGTGGTGTAAATGGGAGTTAATATAGTGCTGTATCAATGGAGGGAGTATGGTACAAATCTCTCTTTTCCATGATATTAACATGAAACAATACTTTTTGTTTCATGTCTACGTATTTGATGTGACTGGTCATGACATGGTTTAATCATGTGCTCCCTGTCTTGTGTTTATATGACACAGTTTGTTGTCCTCCATGTCTTATATTCAGTGTTGCCGTTAAGAAGCACAAGAAATAGCCTCCTACTAGTAGTGATAGCAGCTAAGGTCCAAAATTATTTGTTTGATGCAGCTTATCACCCTTTGAGTTTTGATTTTTTTTTCAAAGACCTGGCACTTGTATTCCCTTCTGTCAGACTCTGTTCAGTGTGACAATAGCGCTCAGTGTTGAAAATCATACTAGTTGTTAATTTGATGGACATTTGAAATCAAGAAATGTGCGTGATGTTGACGCTTGTGCTGTTTCAGGGAAATTAAGCTGGATCAGCCACGCTTATCCAAGAGGCAACTTAAGCGAGCTGAACTTTGGAATGCCCCAGCATGTGCGCGCAAGGGTTTGGAACGCTACAACGGCATGAATCAGGTTTTGATCTAACTGAAGTTTATAAACAGTGCATAGTGCCACTTCGTGACTGGGTGGTCATTCAGCAGTTACATAATCACAAATCTGGACGCCTTTTCATACTTGGCTTTATTTATGTTCCGCTTCAAAAGTTAATGTGTTGATGTCTATTGCTGGAAATGAGTCACACCTGAGCAAACTTAGATGGTTGCAAACATACAACCTCATTAATCTCACGACATAGGTGTGATTATAGAGAAACTGGCATGAGGTCTAGAACTGTGCCTTCATTGCTTATGCTGCCAACATCTCTTGCATGAGTCTACTGGTGTTGATTGCGCACCTAGCCCAGCAGATGTGAGGCTGTTTCGCCCTTGGTAGTCCCATGATGGGTTGCACCTTGTAAACCTTGGTTGTACTTTCCAATTGGTTCCAGACTATAGAGTCGGGGCTGAATTTGATAGCTCATAATGCAATTCCAAGTATATATATCCATCTTGTGAGCACTTTCTTATTTTTGTTTGTTATAATATAATATTTTAGGGGGATGAGTATGAGCTGGTTGAAGCAGTGGGCGTCAAAAGCTTTTGCTACTGTGGTCCGTGGCTGCATGCAAATTTTCTTGCTAGGCATAAAGGTGCCAGTAGCTGTGATGATCTTGTTCCCAAGCACTTCTTTGCTGAGCTGAGGATCGATGCAGATGGTCTGTCGTGTGTTTCATGCTTCAAGTTCGACTCAGGTGTGCTTGTGTAGCTTGAAAATTTATTTTGATGGATTCTTTGTGTCTTTGTGGTGCTAATTGCATATATTTCCTTCTTATATACACTTGCAGTTGACTGGAAGAACTTTGGCGGATGTGGAGTTTGCCCGGCAACATTTGTCCATCCCGCTGGTGGTGGGTACATTGGTGCACTGCCTGAACGACGTCTTCAGCCTGCTCCCACTGGTCTACAAATATCGTTTAGCTTTTGAGTTTATGGTAGTAGAATGATTTTCTAGTTTATGCAAGTTAGTTGTTAAATCAGATAGTGAAGTCTGAAACTCGACTTTGATGAGTCAGCTAGTGAAGGCTGAGATAGCACTTTGATGTTTACTCTGCCAACAAGTTCAGACTGGTAGAAGGGCAGAGCAGGGTGGAGCTGCAAAGGAGAAAGAGATCAACTCGAAGGTCATGGAGAAAGCCAATATCATGAAGTCTGAGCTCCAGATGATTGAAGAGATAATGCTTACGAACGGCTGCAGGAGGTTGAGCATGTCAGCATGTACCGTAGGATGACTATCAGAGATGTGTCCCAAGGAGATGAGCCCAAACCCTTAAAAACTGGGAATTCAGAGCTTGTTCCCCCTAAGTAGACTGCTTGTTTTAGTCCTTTGTTGGTTAGTTGTCGCCGATCGACCACCTATGTCGTGACGACGATGCATTTCATTGTCTATAATGCATTCTATAGTCTATGTGAATCATTAGCTATTCTGGTTTTGCAATGCCTGACGATGTAACGATGTAGCATTAGAGAATTGTGGGATAACCCCATTGGTAGGGTCGCATTGGCGTCTGAAGAATAACTGACAGCACATTGAACTAGTGCGTACGATTTTTTTTGTAAGAATAGCATTGTTCTTTCTTTATCTGACCGAAGTGGCGTACGGGGTTCCTTTGTTGGACTTTTTTTTTCAGACGATGTTGCATTGAGGCTATGGTGCATCGTCACCTCTGGATCTGAAATCACTGCTTGTCTCTCCATGAATGTGTCGATATAAGAACAATATGCAAATAACCATAAGAATAAAGCAATTTTCAAAGTAGTACTAGCAACTATACCAGGTGGAGCTAAGTCTAAGAAAATAGTATCTTGTGGTTGTTAATTCCGTCTTCAAAATAGTACCATCAAACTATCTTTGTCGGCAATCAATACCGCAAAAAAAAAAAACTTTAAGCCACGTCCAATGCACTTGTTGCTCAAATGGATGTATCTAGGCGTATCTTAGTGCTAGATACATTAGCGACAAGTAATTCCTGACGGAGGTGGTACCATTTTGAGGACACTTGGGCAAATAATAAGCACTGAGAATTTACTTAAGTTTAAAACTCTTACTTCTCGAGAGGTAAGAAGGGTGAAGCTTTTTTGCCCACCTCCTATTGCCAACCCTAGCCGCCGGCACCAAAGGTCTTCACCATGTCGCCGCCTCGGTCCCCCTCCTCTCCTCCACCCAGCGACCTCGATGGTGGCAAGAGGAGTGGGACCCTTCTGTCTCATTTTTCTTTTCTTTATGTTTTGTTTTCATAGCGGCATCGACGAGGTTGCGACGGCAACAATGACGTGTTGGAATAAGGTCTCTTCGGCATCTACCTACCTTGGTGATGTCTGATCCGGCGTCGACGAAGAGCCTACGAAAGTTTGTGTTGCCAGATCTGTTGCCATTCTTCGGATTTTGGTAGTTGGTGTGTCTATCAAGGAGATTAATTGGCGGCTATTGTTAGGGAACATAGTACAAAAATATTCTTTTACTCGTACCTACGTACATGCCCAGGATCACTATCAAGATGCAAAGAGGTTTTGATCCTATCTTTACCAACTAACGTAGAGGAGAGAAGAGTGGGTGAAGACCGTTGTTACATATTCCCCCAGCTAGGATTAAACCTCCCAACCGTGGGAATTTCCCCCCTCGAACTAGGATCAAATAGATGATCCCTCTGCCAGTATCCAGGAGTACGGAAACACCAATCCAGCACGGCTTGCCGTCTAGAACGAGAGCCTACCAAAGAACTAGAGGTGGAGGTGGAGCAACCTGACGGCATAAGAACTTTTCATGAGAGAGAGAGAGAGATGGGGCAGCCTCTGCGCCAGATGAGATGTGTTTAGAGGGGCTGCACCTCTCATATTTATAAGATGTGTAGGAGGTAGGGCTGCCTTAGAAG